ACTTCCATGAACATGATCTAACCACCATTATGAGTCAGCAGCACCCTGGCGTGCTGGACAGCTCCAAGGATTGTGCCTATTCTGAGGACTCAGCTTAGCTCCCTGCACTTTGCATTTGTACCTTTGGAACATACTTCAAATCAGATCCCCTAACAATTACATAGTCCTCCTTGTGCTGACACTTGAAGGATGCTTCTCCAGCCCTTAGTGAATTGCTGCTCTTTAGCTTAATTCCAAGCCCCCCCAGCAACCTTTTTCAACCATGCATATAGAGTCCCTCACTCATTCAGGAGATGTTTCTCATTGAGTGATCCATTTTGATATGTATTCAAACCTTTGTTGGGCTGACAAAGTTGACATTTCAGACTCTACCTGTCAGCTCCTTGCAAAGAGCACCTTTTAGGACAGACTATCATAATCCTGCAGGACCTACTGGCACAGGTGCATTTAAAGATGTACTACTGAAAGCCTTTCCTTTTATCACAACCTTCTCCCTCCTGTTGGGTTTTACACTATAAGGCAAATTCAGAAATGTTGACAAGGATTAGTTATGACGTATTATTACTTGTATCCTTTTTTTTTTTTTTTTTTGCTGAATCAAGGCAGGGTGTAGTAGTAGTCTGACCTGGACATTACCAAGGCCGTGGGCATGGAAGCTAAATCCACAAGCTAACTCAAGGGATGTCTGGGGGCAGATGAGGACTGAGCAAAGGCTCAGGTTCACCTCAAAAGCCCTGTGCTGCCAGTTGCTCCTATTCAAAGCCTTCCTTTTCAATCTATCTTTCCACAACACCCCCATTACCAGCAAAACAGACAAAAGCTAGAGGAGCTAGTCAGAGTCATGGAGTAGGTCAGGGCACTTCAAGTTCATAGAATCTTTACACCCAAGTATTATTTTAGGCCTCATCTACCCACTCTTATTACAGCACAAAGAATAGAAGCTCTAGGGGATAAATGACTTGTTCAAGGTCACATTGAGCCCAGCAAGAGATTTCCAGATTCTAATTAACACTAAGTTCCTAAGCTACCTATTCGAAGTCAATGTCTCCATTTTTTCCTTTCAAAACTTCGACGCCTACCTAGTGCTCCCAATCTTGCCTAAGACTACAGAGAAGTCTTCCTTTGTTGATGTGTATCTCTCTGTCACTCATCAGCCCCACTAAATAGAACGTCCTATAACATTCCATGAGTCAAAGTACCTGGGATTGGTGGGGTTCACTAGGGGTCATTTCATTTGTACTTCACTTTTGAACTCTCAGCTCACTAATGTAACTGAAGCGACTACGGAGAAAAATCCTTGTCTTGATGACAAGATGTCTGGTCCATTCCATACTATGCCCTATATAAAGAGCATATTTGGTGCAGAATGCCAGTTTGGCAATTGCCAAAAATGTAGGTAGGTGTTCGATGGATGGGGATTGTAGCTCCAGGACAACTGTGTTCCACTACTTACTTGTCCTCTAAAAATGCTTCCATATCTGCCAAATGAGAATAACAGTACTCTCTGTATAATTATACATGGATTAATCATAGAAGGCAAAATTAAAATTCTATAGCATCATGTTAAGGATCCTGTATCTGCTGGCTCTTCCTTGATCACATTCAGCGAAACTCAGTTGGTCAATGCCATTCACGTGGAAAAGAGATTCTGATGAAGAGGCGCTGGCACATTCACGTGGAAGAATTTCCACGTAGAGGAAACTTCAGCTACAATAATAACAACCCAGCCAACTGGAAGCAGCACCTGGTATGGAGGTGACTTTGGTGATTGGGGATGGTAAGCATTGTGTGCACGGTTCCTTTAGGTCCTCTAGATGGATTGGGGTAAAATGGGAAGTCTTACCTTTCATTTGTTAACCGTCTTTACTAAGAGATATTTTATGACCAGCAATGCTGGTTCCCCACCCCAACCCAAGGCATGGCAGAAGGGCTTTGGTAGACACTACCACCCCCTAGTGGTAGCTGTACACTCCCTAGGCAGGACTGGCAGGCTTTGGGCTCCAACTTTGTCCATCCAGCTGTGGCATTCCACCATCTCCAAAACCTCAGAACTGACAAGCTACTACTGAGAGTCACAGATAAGTCACCGGCGACAGGCAGGATATTTAAAAGGTCTGGCGATGGGATAGGGCTTGCCAGGAGACCTCGGAAAAGTGATGGTCTTAAATAATTCATAACCTCCACCCTTCCTCATGGCTGCTACCAACTGGGTTTGCCAGCCAGCCTGGCCCTCCAAGAGCTCATTGTGCACTCGGTGTTTACATACAAACAGTCGAAGACCAACACAAATAAAAAGCCCACGTCTCCCTACACAGCTCCTGCTATACCCTGCCATCTGGTGACTACCTCGCACGCCAAATCCCTGTCGGAAAGGATCAGGCTGCCAGTCCAGGACCTTGGGGGTAGGAAAAGGTGAGAACCCAACTTGCTACTTGCTTCCAAAGGGCTCTCTGTAGCCAAGGAGGAAAGCACCTGGCCACTCCAGGGGGAGCCTGCAGGCCCCAGCAGCTCAGCTCCAGGGCTGTGAGTTAGAAAGTGAAGCCTGCAAGACTCCATGGACAGTCAAACTGATACATGGATCCTGGAATGGTGTGGGGGGGTGAGGGAGAGAGAGCGGGGATTCAAGATTTCCTGCTTCACACAGCAGCTCCCCTTTCTCAACACCCAACCTTTTAAAAGCCTCCGTTTAAAATGGCAAGGGCTGTTAGCTCTAGGAAATTTCGGAGCACCTCTCTAGCTGGCTGGACCTGGTCTCCACAGCCTTGAGAAGCTGGAAGGCTCTGAAGAGCTCACTGCCAAATCAGGCAGTACTCAAGAACCAATTCCCTTTCTCTCTGTCTTCAGAAAGGCTGTTTGGGGAGCATTTCCATTCCGCCAGGCTTTCAAGGTATCCCAGAGTACAGACATCTCAGGATCGGAGGGGGACAAGGGTAAGGTTGGTACTAGGTAGGTAGTTTTATCTTTGACAGGACTCCTCCCCCAACCTCACCCCACACCTCCACGGGGCACTTAGGAGTCTGTGGTGAGCCCAAGGTTAGCTCTGTGTACCCTCAGGATTTCAACCAACACCCTCAGCTCCTTCTCTGGACGTGGGCTGCCCCACAGGTGAAGGTAGGGCTGGCTGCTGGTGTGCAATTTTGCTGGGAGTGGGGGGGTACGAGAGAGAGGAGAAAGCTGTTCTGCTTAGCAATACAAGGCCACTGTTGTTCCCAGGAACCGGCTAGGTGCTCAGCTGTCAGAAAGCTCAAGAAGCTAAGGTTACAACCCGGGAGGTGGGGGAGGGGGGAGAGGGGGGAGAGGTCGGGAGGGCTAAACCCGAAGGGCTCAAGCTCAGACTGAGGGAACCGGGCACTGGCTTAGATCTCCGGAGGCAGCCAGCTCAAAGGCGGTGGCCATGAGGAGGGAGGACTGGAATGGTCACAAAATACACTCGCATCAGTGTCCGATGTCCCAGGAGAGTGGAATCTGGTCTCTTGATTACTTTGGAGGGAGAACAAGGAGTTAATCTCAGAGGATCTTAACATCTGAGATCCTCATCTCTGGCTGGGATCCTAACGGCGCTAGAGCTGGGGCACCCACGGTTCAGCACCCCACAACCGATGCGCGAACCTGTACCCCTCCCAATGACCAGGACCCGGGCTCCCCGAGTCTTGTAGGAGCCCCTGGAGCCTTCTAGGCGCTGTTGTTGGCCAGACTCTAACAGCCAATCCAGCCAATCGCGCCCTGCGCCCCCCCCCGGGAAGGGGCGGAGAGAGGGAGCGAGCTGCGAGCGAGCGCGGGAGAGCCGGGGAAGGGGAGGGGGGGGGAACAACATTTTTGTAAACGCTCTCCGAGATAATTAAGCTATCAATTACCCGGGTGGGAAATCAGCCTCGCTTCCCACCGCTCCACGCAAGGGCCGGCTCCTCCGGGACTCGCGCCGGGAATCAGCAGGCAGCCAAAGCTGCTGGCGAACTTCCTGATTAACTTTTCCGTGTGAGCCCCTCTAATCTCCCCCACCTCCACAGTTTCTTCTCCTCTCCCCCACCCCCACCCCCTCCTCTGACCTATAAGTTAGTATTCTTATTATTCTTGATTAATTAATTAATTAAGCGCCCAGTGAAATGAGCAGCGAGGATCAATCACCCTGCTGTCTGCCGGCGGTGGGGTAGAAAGGGAAAGGCGATTCCCAGGACTGGAGGGACCCTCCAGTCTCAACAGAGTAAAGACCTCGCGCTCCCAATTCCCTAAGTCCTCACAAATCACTCGGTTGCTTCCAGTCCCGTTTCTCCGAAAGCCCCACACGGAAGCTCCGAGAGGTAAAGCGACACAGCCAAGGTCACCCAGCGCATTTGGAAAAGCCCAGGTTTGTGTTTTGTGTGTGCGGGCTTTTTTTTTTCCCCTTTCTTCTGTCAAGCCTGCAAGAAAGCTACTCTCTCGCTGATGGCTGGAGAACATCATCAGTCTTGGAAGGGAAGAACCCGCAAAACTCGGACGAGACAGAGGGAGGGGGGCGGTACCCGTGGGCGCCCAGGGATCGCAAGGGTTTCCGAGGAGGGCCGGGGGGAGGGTCTGCCCCAAGTCCCTAGCGAGACCCCCCCCCCCCGCTTCCACCACCAACTACCCCTGGTGCTGGGGGGGTGGGGTTCCCCGCAGGCAGGACGGACAGACCCGGAGAGACGGGTGGACAGATTCCCCATTGCGGGAGTCTCGGCACGCCCCCGGGGTCCCGGGGCGCGCTGTCCAGGACCTGCTGCCCCGCGCTGGTTTCCAACCACCTGTGCGCCCTCCGTGGAGGCGTGGGGGGGGGCTCACTTTTGCCCTTTGCCAGTCTCGCTCTGGGTGGGTGGGTGGGTGGGTGGGTGGGGGGAACAGTCTGGGGCGGGATCCCCAGGGCGCCCCCCCTCTCTCTCACACACACACTCGCCGGGCTCCACGTCGGGGGTTCGCGGTTCCTCGGGACCCCCGCCCCCCCCCCCGCCTCGCTCCCTCCCCATCCCGGGGCGCGCGCGCAGCCTCACCCAGGGTGAAGAAGGGCAGTTCGGTGTTGTCCAGGTCATCCTGCACGGCGATGCGCCCGGGCAGCTCGTTACGCACAAAGAGCAGGAGGCGCGACTCGGCGGCGGCGGCGGCGGCGGAGCCCGGGGAGCCCGGGGAGCCCGGGGACGCGGCGGCGGCGGCGGCGGCCGCTCCAGCCCCGGTCCCAGCCCCGGTCCCGGCCCCGGGGCGGGCGCCGCTCCAGCCGATGTCGCTGTCCCGCAGGGCGGGCAGCGTGGACACCGTCACGGTCTTGAGCCGGCAGGGACTGTCGGGCTCCCGCGAGGCGGCGGCGGCGGCGGCGCCGGCCAGCAGCGGCGGCGGCGGCAGCAGCAGCAGAAACATCAGCAGCATCCGCGGCGGCGGCGGCGGCGGTGGCGGCGGCGGCGGCGGCGGCGGCGGCCCCGGGTGGAAGCGGAGCCTCGGCCGTCCCCGGAACCCCCAGCCGGGGCCGGGGCTGCGCTGCCGGGCGCCGGCGGCGGCCATGGCGGGAGGGGCTGCGGGGCTGCGGGCGGCGGTGGCGAAGCCGGAGGGACCGGAGAGCGAGACGGGAGAAGGAGGCGGCGGAGACCGAGACGGTGGACGCCGCCGAGGCGAACCAGGCAGGACGGACGCCCGAGCGCAGGAGCCGAGAGAGCCGCTAGCCAGCAGCCCCCAGCTCCGGGCTCCGCCTCCCGATCGGCCCTGGACCGCCCCCCCGCGCCGCCTCCCCGGGCCCCGCCGCCCGCCCCCCCCCCCCCCGCCCTCCGCCCGCTCCCCCCCAGCCGACCCGAGCGTTCCGGAGGCTCCGCCCGGCCGCGTGCGAGTGCCCCGATCGCGCCCTCCCCTTCCCCAGGATCCCCCCTCCCTCTCCCCTCCCCGCCAAGGCCGCCCGCAAACGTCCTTAAGCCTCAACACCTTTCTCCAGAATCCTAACGCTTGAGGACCTCCCCCTCCCACTACCTTCCCGGCTTCTCCTCCGGTGCTCCCACCCCCTTTGACTCAGTCTACCTCTCAGGGCTTCTTTCCCTGGGTAGGGTGGAGGTGGCCTTAAGTCCAACCTGGCCCTGTCTTGCTGGAGAGGTGGGGGGGGGGGGTGTAGAGCGCGCCCCTGGATAGCCTGGACTTAACTTTGTCTCTCCCTCAAATAAGTCCTGGCTACAAATCTCTACCTGAAAGAAAGGAAAAGAAAAGAAAAGAGGGAAAGAAAATTAGACCCTGAAATAACTTCCCCAGGTCCCTAGAGCTCCCTCCCCACATATTCACTCTTGAGACCCCGCCTCGCCTGCCCACCTCTCCATCCAGGCCATCTGAGACTGCACTCAGCGCTGGCGGGCCCAAGGAGGCTTGAACTCCATTCTGGAATACAGAACACACACACACACACACACACACACACAGCCCTGCAGCTGGCTCCAGCTGTGCCGCTCTGGCCCTCTAGCTGCCATCTCGCTAGGCGACCCACTCACCAAGCACTTTTATTTTGGAACCCAGCTCCCAGCTTGGAGCGGCTCTGCTTGGCTGCTTGGGGGCTGTGTGTGTGGAAATTCCTGAAAAGGCTGTAAGGTAAGGAGACCGACTCTTCTGCAGGACTCTAGGCTCCCTTTGGTGCAAGGGGCTACTTATCAGTCTTCCCTTCTTCTTTAGTCCTTCTAGAGTCAAATGGAACCTTAACAAAACACAGTCTTTCTTTGGCCTGGGGCTGACAGTGTCTGACTCCCATAGGTGAGTTCGCTGCCAGGGAGACTTTCTTCATTCTTAGAGGGTCCAGAGATGGTAAATGTGCATCACCTGCCTTCCTCTCTCCTCTTCCTCATCCTGCCTCTCCGTTGTCTCTTTCATCTTTCCACTCATCTGACTTTAATCTTATAAATGCTTCCTCCCTGTAATTTGTGAGCCATTTCCCACCTCGGTGGGTCTGCCTTGTTCTTGCATACCTTTTGTGCAGTGTCTGTGCATGAACGGTTCTGGTTCTCTTCTTCTGTCTCTCTTCTCTCGCTATCTGTAACACCTTCACAGGAATTATTCTTCTCCCCTCTTATCACCTGGTTTTTGTTGCCCTTTTTAAGACTTTGGGGAAAGGCGAAAGAAGGGAAATGAAAGGGGGAAGTAACCTGCATTGTGACCTTGGATTTCGTTAATAGTGCTTATTAAACGTTCTCCAAGTGTGAGACATGTACCTGTGTGAGCTTTTGCACATAGTCATAATCCACTGACATGGGCATTCAGGTTCCCATTTTCTCTGCTGCCAGGAAGCTGAGCTCGGGAGGTCAGGGTGGTCAAGGAACTTCCTGAGGTTACACAGCTAAGGAGCTTGGTTTGAACTCCAGGCTTCAAAGCCTCGGCTATCTCCATTAAACACACTGTCCTCCGTGACCTTGGAAAACACCACCATCAAAGATATTGAAAAAGGTACATGTGCAAGAGCGCAGTCGGGTCCGTTTCTGTCCTGTGGTTTGTAAGGTAGGCTTGCCTGTCTCCTTTTGCTAATCTGTGAACCCAAAGGGGTGGGGGTGGCATCTGGCCTTTCAAGTCCTCTGATTCTAAACCACCACCCCTTGTCTCTCTGATGCCCGTTACAGTTCATTTACTCCTCCAAAATATGTCTCGCTGCCTCCCTCAGTCTCTCCTTTGTACCCATACAATCCACCACTATGCTCTGCAATGGGGCTTTCTGATTCTCTATGCCCCTTTCTTCAAATATGCTGACATAGGCCATTTATAGAAGTGCACACCAGGAAAAAAGGGCTCCCTTATGTAAGGCAGAATCTGTGCAAGTCCTTCATGGACCTCTGGTACAAAGGCCTGTCAAACAAGAGACCAACACTTTCATTCATTCATTCACCAGCAAATATCCTACCAGACACTCTACGGGGATGCGGGAATGGATAAACACAGTTTCTGCCCTGGGAGATGTTAGAATGATTGGGCACAGAGATGAGACCAGTGCAGACACATCTCAGGTACCAGACCAGGGAGGCAGGCATTCAGACAGACACACATGTTTTCTCTGTGTGTCCTGCTCAGAGAAATCAAAGAAAGCTTCCCAAACACAATGGCATAGGAGTTGATCCATAAAGGACCAGTAGAATGGGGGTAGGCATTCAAGTTGGCATTGGGCACTTGTTACAATTCTTAGCATCTGAATGAGTCTTTTTTTCCCCCTACATCAGAGGAGGGTGTTTTATCCTCTGAGGCACAGCTTTACCTCCCACAATGATGCTAAGAACTTTATGGGGTTTATCAATGAATCATGATAACAATTTCTGCCTCAGGCAGTTGTGAGGCTTCAGAGGAAAAAAATACATGAAAAGCACTTAAACATAGTAGGTACTCAGTAAATTCTGACTACTTCTATGATTTATAATCCCCCATAGTGGGGATTATAAAAAAATAAAATATTATCAACCCCATTTCATCGATAAGTATTCTGAGGCTCAGGAGAGCTAGAGATTTGATCTTGATCAGCAGTTGCTTTACCAATTTTCAGGTCTTTGGGACTTGGGCTCATGAAACAGACTTTGTCAGGTTGAGTTACCTCCAGTGCAGAGAAGGAAACTGGAATCAGGCAGAAACAATTAGGGGGGCAATTACATCAGGTTTCACTGCCCACACAAACAAACTAACTGCTTGGCGCCCCATGCCATAGGTGGTAACTATTGACAATCATGAGTGAATCGACCTGTTGTTGCCTGGTTGCTATTGTGGCAATATATCTTATCAGGTCTAGTTCTGTGTCTACATTTGGAGACATTCTCTTAACTTCATGGACTCTAAGCCAGATTCCATTTGCGAACCTCTGTAATGTGAACTCATTTTACTGAATTCTGGATCCTCTTAATGCTTACATTATTCAGAGTTAGTTTCTGTTGCTTGCAATTAACACATCTGCCCCAGAACAGAGAATGTGGAGACAGTTGGAGGGCAGAGCTAGTGACAAAGAGAAATGGAGAGACTTAGGTAAGAGGAAGGAGGCTCAGTGGCAGAAAGTACCAACACGATGGAGTTAGCAGCCACAAGTCGGGATTAGACACCAGGAAATAACTCCTGTTTTGGAATATCAGGTCAATGATTCCAGGAGTTTATGTGATCTCTCAAGGAGTGATGATAACCAATAACTGTCTCTGTGTCATTGTGAAGATTCATAATAGTGCTCAGTGAATAGTAGATGCTCAACAAATCCTACTTGTTTGATTTATAATGCCTATAACACCTGGAATAAGTCATGTCATCCTGATCTCATAGATCTGTTTTTGGAGGTCCAGGAAAGCTAAGACACTTGTCTTTAATTGTGGAATTACCCAGTAGTGAAAACAAGAATGGCTGACTCCCACGTTCTTGTTCTGTCTGCCACAGCATGGCCCTTGTTTACACCAGCCCTTCTCCATACTTTCCCAATATGTTCTGTGCCCCTCATAATCTTCCCCCTCCCACCTCTTTCTTACCTTTTCCTTTCCTCTCTTCTTCCCAGTTGCATTCCATTATTGATTTAATTTATTCAACCCTAGGGCTCCCCTACTGGTCTCACTTTCTCTCCCCCAATCTAACTCCAAGAAAAGTCTTCCAAGAAAATGCTTCTTCTTTCATATCTCACCTTTGCCTAGATTCTAGGTGGGTTTGTAATATTGTTTCCTTTTTTTTCTCCCTCCCTCTTGCAAAGTATCTCTTATTTTGCAAAATCCCTTTTATCCATACCACCTGATCAAGGCAGACTGACTGGTGTGATTGGAAAGGCAGGTGCTCAAAGCCAGACAAGCTTTGGCTGAGATATCAGCTATGCTATTTACCTACTGCGTCAGGTCACTTCATAGTGCTTGCTAGCCCTTTTGTTTTCTCATTTGTGAAGTGGGGAAAATAGTGCCCACTTCTTTGGGTCATTATGGGAATTAAATGAGACCATGCGTACGAAACTGTCTAGCACCTGTGAGGCTCTCATAAATGGTCTAAGTAAATCCAATCATCGGATGGTCTCTCACCTGCTGAGTCCGTCCCTGGCCTGTTATGTGAGCCTCTCTTTCAACCAGTTAAGTCCAGTCACACCTAACCCTTTTCCATTCCCAGCGTGTTTCCAGCTCTTCCAGCCCCACCATCTTCATGCAGCTTTCTTCTGCCTGCAGAGATTCCCCATTTTTTCCCCACCTACCTTCATTTCACTGTTTAAGTCTAGCAAAGAAAGCCCTCTCTCCAAGCTGACTAAGCAGCCTGTTCCCTATCTAACCAGCCATCCTCTGTCTCCCTCTCACTTTCCTTTCCTATCTTCTTCTATGCTTTTGATTATACTTGTTGTATATTTGAGTAACAAATATACTGCACATTTAGTTGTGTATTTTCTGGATGTATTTTGGTTATCATGAAGTGCACACAAACTAGTACAGCAAATGAACACAGGTAGAGATACAAAATGATTTTGCCAATGATGATTGCATATTTATTGAGCTCATACTCTGATATAACACCTCTACCAGTCACTAGCCCTTTCTCTACAGAGGATAAAATAGAACATCGTT